TCCCTGGCAAGTGCAAGGGCCTGAATTCAATCCCCAGTTCCGCCAAAAAATAAAAATAAAAATAAAAATAAAATATTCTTTCTTGGAGCCAGGGAGATGACTCAGTAGAATAAGCACTTGAGTTCAATCCCTAGTTCCACACACACACACACAAAAAACCTCTTTCTATGAGCTCAGGCTGGCCTTGAACTCATTGTGATTATCCTGCCTCAGCCTCCATAAGCTAGGATTGCAGGTGTGCACTACTATGTCCAGCTTTCAATGCATATTAACCGATCAGACAATTTTTAAAAATGTATTTAGTATAGGGTCTACAGGGTCTCACTATACAGATTGGACTTGTAGTGATTGTCCTGTTTTCAGCCTCCCAAGTGCTGCGATTACAGACACGCACCACCACGCCTAGTGTCAATTGCTGGGGGGCAAGGCTGGCACGGCAGAAGGGGAATTGAACCCTGGTCCTTGTGTCTGCCTAAGTGGGTACTTTAATCCATTGAGTTATCTGGCCCGCCCCAGTAAATATTCTTAACATTTCAATTTTAATGGGTTTTCCCTTCTGTGTGTGTGTGTGTGTGTGTGTGTGTGTGTGTGTGTGTGTGTGCTTGTTTGCGCATGTCCATATGTCCATGCAGCCTTGGGCACTGGACCCAGGACTGTCACAATGAACTCCATCTCCAGTCTTTTTTTTTATATATTTTTATTTTATTTTTTGGCAGAACCGGGGATTGAACTCAGGACCCTGTGCTTGCCAGACAAGGGCTAATTCTACTGTGCCATCTCTCCGGCCCCTTATTTTTTGTTTTGAGATAGGGTCTCCCTGAATCACTAAATTATCCAAGCTGTCCTCAAGTTTGTGATCCTCCTGCCTCAGCCTTCTGGAGTGCTGAAGTTCTAGGCACTGCTGGCTCTGAGTGTCCCCAATTCTTAACAGTGTGAGAAGAAAAACTGCTGACTTTGTGAAAAGGAATAGATCAGATAGGCTTACCAGATAAAACAGAAAATTTCCAGTCTAATTTGAATTTTGGATAGCCAATAAAAAATATTGGATGGAACTTGCTTTACTAAAAAATGACTCGTAGGGGCTGGGGAGATAGCTCAGCAGTCTGAACACCTGCCTGGCAAGCACAAGGGCCCAAGTTCAATCCCTGGTACCACATACATGCCAGCCCGGGGAGCAAGACCTTGTATCAAATAAATAAATAAATAAAAAATCTTTTAAAAAATAAATAAAGGGGCCGGGGAGATGGCTCAGTGGAATAAGCATTTGCCTGGCAAGCGCAAGGGCCTGAGTTCAATCCCCGGTTCCACGAAAACAAACAAACAAACAAAAAAATAAATAAATAAAAAATAAAAATAAAAAATGACTCATAGTTGATCTGAAATTCAAATTTAAATGGGTATCTTGTATTTTTAGTTGCTACCAGACCAGCACAGCCTCTTCCCTGCACAGCCTCTTCCCTGCTATGTCATCTCCAGTGTGGGGCAGGCTCTGCTGAGCTTCTCAGAGGCCCCTTGAGGGTAACAGAGTTCCGAACGACCATCTGGACTGCCTGTGTGATGCTGCACAAAGTGCTGGA